CACGTGCGCCATCCAAAAGACTGAAATAGACGTGCAGCAGTTTGTCTGCGTCGTCCCACTGGTTGTGCACGGCAACGAACTCGTAATGAACGAGCCAATCTTCGACATCCTCAAGTGCACTGCCATGAAAGGGATTTGGCGTTCGCGGTGTGAGTAAGGTGCAATGAAGTGGCGTTGTGCCGTTCGTACCGTTTGGGTTGGTGTCAGTAGGGCTGGTCGGAGCTGCCATGTTGTTTACGAGCAGTCCAAACTAAGGGAATTGCCCTCGGATTCTTCTGCTGGCGCGGTGCACAGGAGTAACCACCGGTAGGGCGCTTGAGTTCTTGCTATGTGGAGGGGTACGGTGCATAGATTACCCAGCACGTCCACCAGTTTGTCACGCACCAAGAGCCGTGAAGACCAGACAGGAACAGCGGGGCAGAGAGACGCGAGCGTGTATCTTTAAACAAAGCGCTAACACACACTTCTTTTTTGTTCTCGTTTCCCTTTTCGGCTCGCTAGGGCTTGCCGGCTCACAACTCTAGGTGGCAATATTCAATAGCTTCGTCCCCTTCTAGCCTGGCACCTTGGGTTGTAGTTATAAAACTCTGCTCTAGGCTCGTCTCATTCCTTAGGGAGTTTAGATGGTTCCATAATTTCGCAGCTGCCTTTCTATCTTTTTTATGTACTTCTGCCAGCCACTGAGCTCCCTTTCTTCTAATCTTTTCATTGATCGGAAGGTATGCAGCCCTTTTACAGCTTAGAAAGGTTTCCCATTTTCTTTCAACATCTTCTGTCGATCACCCCACTGCTTAGCATGTCTGTGTTCCCTAGAGGCTTCCCGACGTTTTGCTATGGCTCTCTTAACTTCCTCATCCCACCAACTTTTGGTTTGTGTCTTCTTTTCCGGGGTGACTTGTTACGCGTCTTAGCAAGCTCTAGCTCAAAGAGTCTAATTAGATTCGTGTATGTCCACACTGTCTTATTATCCTCCGTGAGTCCGTAGTTGATGCGTTGACGTGCCGTTCGTATGACGGGGCCCGGTGCCTAAGAGTGCTTTCGATGGTGACGGCTTCTCTGAGAAATTCGGACACAGTCTTGGGAGGACTGCGCACACTCCCACCGAAAAGCTGTTCTTTCACCCCGCGCATGAGGTACCGTACCTTCTTTTCTTCTGGCATGCCGGGGTCAGGTCGGTGGAAAAGACGCGTCATGTCCTAGACATACATCGCAACCCCTTCATTCGGCAGTTGTATGCGGGACTGCAGATCGCGCTCAGCTCTCTTCCGCCGGTCAGGGCTGGCATATGTCCCAAGAAGTCGGCGTTTGAAGTCTTCCCACGATGTAAGAATACCTGCCCGGTTCTCATACCATACACGTGCGCCATCCAAAAGACTGAAATAGACGTGCAGCAGTTTGTCTGCGTCGTCCCACTGGTTGTGCACGGCAACGAACTCGTAATGAACGAGCCAATCTTCGACATCCTCAAGTGCACTGCCATGAAAGGGATTTGGCGTTCGCGGTGTGAGTAAGGTGCAATGAAGTGGCGTTGTGCCGTTCGTACCGTTTGGGTTGGTGTCAGTAGGGCTGGTCGGAGCTGCCATGTTGTTTACGAGCAGTCCAAACTAAGGGAATTGCCCTCGGATTCTTCTGCTGGCGCGGTGCACAGGAGTAACCACCGGTAGGCGCTTGAGTTCTTGCTATGTGGAGGGTACGGTGCATAGATTACCCAGCACGTCCACCAGTTTGTCACGCACCAAGAGCCGTGAAGACCAGACAGGAACAGCGGGGCAGAGAGACGCGAGCGTGTATCTTTAAACAAAGCGCTAACACACATTCTTTTTGTTCTCGTTTCCCTTTTCGGCTCGCTAGGGCTTGCCGGCTCACAACTCTAGGTGGCAATTCAATAGCTTCGTCCCCTTCTAGCCTGGCACCTTGGTTGTAGTTATAAAACTCTGCTCTAGGCTCGTCTCATTCCTTAGGGAGTTTAGATGGTTCCATAATTTCGCAGCTGCCTTTCTATCTTTTTTATGTACTTCTGCCAGCCACTGAGCTCCCTTTCTTCTAATCTTTTCATTGATCGGAAGGTATGCAGCCCTTTTACAGCTTAGAAAGGTTTCCCATTTTCTTTCAACATCTTCTGTCGATTCACCCCACTGCTTAGCATGTCTGTGTTCCCTAGAGGCTTCCCGACGTTTTGCTATGGCTCTCTTAACTTCCTCATCCCACCAACTTTTGGGTTTGTGTCTTCTTTTCCGGGGTGACTTGTTACGCGTCTTAGCAAGCTCTAGCTCAAAGAGTCTAATTAGATTCGTGTATGTCCACACTGTCTTATTATCCTCCGTGATTACTTTCTCAATTTGTTTAGTGGCTATTTCAACTTGCCTTTTTGAATAAAAATTTTCCTGTAGTTGCTCATCTTGTCTCCTTCCCACTTTCACTGCTCTTCCAAAACTTAGCTTGATACGTTTGTGATCACTACACAGACTTCTGGAGCCACCTTCATCTATGTGCATTACCCTGAGCTTATCATACACCCTATGTGACATCAGTGCATAATCTATCGTCGACTGCAGCCTTCCTACCTCCCATGTTATTTGCCCTTCACACTTCTCGGTACTGTTGCAAATGATCAAATCAAGCCTTTCACACATATCCATGATCATTTTGCCTGTCGGGTCAGTATACCCATCTATATCTTCTATGTGCGCATTCATGTCTCCTAGTAAAATTATCTCGCACTCTCTTCCTAACTCCTGAATGTCCTTCGATATACACTCTACCATTGCCTGGTTTTCCTCTCTGGCCTTTGCTCCCGTCCACAAGTACACGAAACCAAGGAGTGTCATTTGACCTGCCACTTTCCCTTTTAGACATAAATGTTCCTTGCACTCCTGCTTGACCCTTTGCCAGTCTGTACTTTTATGAATGAATGCCCCAATACCACCCCCCTTTCTGCTGCCTTCTGTTCTATTACAATATTCCCACGCGTAGTCCAGATTGTTCAGAGGTTGTTTCATGTCCGTGAGATGTGTTTCTACAAACCCGTATACGATCGGCCTCTCTTCCCTTAGCTGTTCTTCTATCTCTTCCCACTTTAGCCTGTTCCTACCATTCTGCATGTTAATATACCCTATGTCTGAATGGCTCGGCGCTCGTGGCTACGTCTATTTATGCCCCGGACTCTACCTATCTTAGACATTGGTGCCACTTTGGAATCGTATATGTCCATAACACCTGTCGAAGAGTCTTCCTGGTTGTTTTCCTCGTTACTAGCTATCCTGCACCCCGAAGGGCTCGTTTGCCCCCCCAAAAAAGCTACTGCGCGTCCTGCAAGTCGCCAACCCACCTCAAGACCTAGCCGCCCATCGAAGTGAATTCTGTCTCGTTGAAAACCACCCCACCTATGCACCTCTCTGTTTATTTCCACCACCTCAAACCCTTTCTCTCGACTCATCCGACATATCTCTTGGTTTGCGTTGACAACCGTTCTTTGCAGGTTGCTATCACGCACCGGTACCTCCGGTATCGTGCATATCACTACCTGTACCTTAGGAGAAGTGGCGCGCATATCATCGACGCCTTTCGCCAGTGTGGCCGCTAGTCCTGCTGTATCTTGATTTAAGACATCATTAAACCACCTGAAATCATCACGAGGTTTCGTCTATCAGCTGTAGTTTTGAGTTTTGCGCTCGCTTGCCTCATGACTGCTTCCAGCTTGCGTCCTGGGAATGCCCCTACTGCAACCCTCTTGTCACCTCTTACCCTCTCTTTGATGGCTTCTGTGCATCGATTTAAATTCGAGTCCCCGGCGATTATCACATGCTGTGACTTTTCAGCTGGAGCGTCCTGCACCTGGGGGCTACTTGCACCTGTGACGCCGGCTGCTTTGTCCCCTCCCAGACCCACCACTACCTCACTGAAGCTGGGCCTTGCGACAGTTGAACCAGCTAAACCTGTTTTTTCCAAACTTGCTTGCTCTTCCTTCTTCACCGTTCTGGTTGCCGGTTCTCTACTGTTCTCTCCGTAGGCCGCTTCTTTGTTCAGCTTCGCTAGTGCTTCCTCGGTGGACTTCAGTCCTTCTCCCGTTGCCCTCGTCTTCTCTTGCTCTGTCGCCAACGCAGTCTCGAGCTCATCGATTCTCACCAGCAGTTCACTTTGGGCAACCATCATTTTCTCAATTTTTTCCTCGACCTCACATTGCCTACACTTCGCGTCAGCCTCTTCTCCATCCGCTTCTACGCTTGGGTCCACTTTCAAACCCACTCCACATCCTGAACACTTTAGAGTCTTTTTAGCCATGTCTTTCTGACACCAATTGTCCCTATGCTCGATAATTACTAAACTCGAGCCGTGCACTACGAAAAAAAAAGAAAATCTAAGCTGTACTACAAAAAATTGCGTGTTAAATGTACACGCACCTCCCCCATGGGGTGGCAAAAGAAAGAAAAAACAAAAAAATTCAAACACACACATCCGTACTAACTAATAAATACCTGGTGACTGGCCCCCGAAAAAGCCGTACCATAAAATAAGTGCTACGAAGATTTCAACCGCTGCCTAATAATTATAAAGACAAGCTCAAAACATGCAAAAACATTTATCTGCGCAGTCGATCCGGAGCGCTCGAAAAACGCGTCCAATTACCGTCCATCTAGCAAGAGTTCCATCCATCCACGGGTCGGGCGCAGCAGCGGCGCGGCGCGGATGTTCACCGCAAAAGGTCAACGCGGGAGCCGGCACTTTGGACACTCCCCAAATTCACTCTAACTTCGGCGCGCAGCCCGAGAGAAGCACGACTGTCTGTCTCGCACCGGGTCCAGTAACCAACTCTTTTATTTACAGATATATGCATTTGATACAAAACACTGTCACAAAAGGCGCCACATAACATTTGAAACAGAAACCGAAACTGAACGAAACAGCACGACACAACAATAGGCGTACACGCATGGCTGCAGTGCCCACAAGATCATTATTATCATCATCACCACGAATCCACGCGCAATGCGGCACGTTATCCCGTTAGCCGCGTGCTGCACAAGTCGACAGCTCGTCGGAGGATCTCGCGGCTTACCACGATGAGGCGATGGGTTTCCGAGGGAACCACGAACACCAGAGCACACCGCGACAAAGATTTCCGCCGCACGACGACCGCCGGCAACGCGTATGCCACTGACGACGTGCCAAACTCTGCTCGAGCTCCGCGCCCCGCTGAAGACGTGTCCGTGGAGCACCTCACGTACAGCATCAACTCCAGCCATCCGCGGACGTTGCGGGACAAGGACACGCTGTGCAAACGACACCGGCGGCGACGCGCGATGGCGCATCGAGTCTGCCAGTCGGAAGGGCAGTTGAGGCCGACTTTGCCGGCCGCCAACACGACGCCGGTGATCCCTGCTCTGTCAGATGACCAGGAACAGGAAACGACACTGCTCGAGGTGCTTGGAACCTTGCACCAGGGGCTCGGAAGACAGACCGTAAGTTGAGATTTATTTACTATTATATGACGATTCCTTTCGAGGACGCGAGACAGAAGGTTAGCGAGGTACAAATAGCTTACGAGAGAACAACGGTGAGAAATGATGCAATACTGCAATATCTGCCTCTTCGCTGTACAAAAAAAGCTAGTTAATTCGGCACCGGCTGATTCGCAAAATCGGATAATTCGGAGGCGTTCCGTGGTTCCGGCAAGCATACATGTAATGTTTTAAAGCATCAAACTTGTGTTGATTCGGTCATATTTGGCAGCAGCCCGGTTAAGTCATATCACTGCGACCCAGCAAAATGTCACCTAACATTGCCATTTGAAAGACCGCATTTCTCATATTCCAGGCATAGGTAATTTCTAACTGGGAATACGCATCAGGGTTGCAAAAACATATCGATACCGACCTAGCCACACTGAAAACCTGGACGCCGACGCTGGAATATGAGTTTTCGTTCCGTGGTGGTGTTTCAGCTAGTAGAGACCGCATGGGGTGCTTAACGAAAGAAACAAAAAAATGGCAGCATATCCACGGAGTGAATGATGGAGAGTGGGGCGAAGAATTCGTCCGTCCATTCGTTCTTGCTTCCGTCCGTCCATGCGTCCGTCAGTGTGACCGTCCATGCGTCCATCAGCCCGTCCGTGCGTGCGTCTGTTCGTGCGTCCGTTCCTGCGTTCGTCCTTGCAACCGCCCCTGCGTCCGTTCATGCGTCCATCCACGCATCTCTATGTGTCCGTTCGTCCATCTATTCAACACTCCAAGTACCACCATCTCGCATCTTTTCATCATATATTCCCCATTAGGGAGCCTACATGAACGGCCGTGTTTAGGGTGATGTCAGCCTTTGACCGACTACATGCCGCCAACGCACCGCCGCCCGCCAAAACACAATGTTGCCAGGCAGCAACGTCGCGCTGTCGCCCCATCTTGGTGCCCGCACTGCGTCTACGCCCGGTTGTGTTTAGTTCTCAATAATACGGCGTCGAACGTTGCGGTAGCGTGTTGAACGCTGCCGGTGAAGCCTTAGAATGCCTGGATGCTGCGTACCGCTCTGCACTAACCACAACAGAAAGGGGGTGCGAATGTTCCGCTTCCCAGCGAGCCCTGGCTGACGACAACTATGGCTGGCTCAAGTGAAGCGAGACGGCTGGGAGCCCACCAGTGCTTCTCGTATTTGCTCTGTGAGTACTGCGTATTTCATTCACTGTTTTTTCCTGCGGCACACGTATATGTGTTTCGCGGTGTTCGCGAATGAGTAGATAACCGAAGTTGTCGTTGCTGCGTCCACGCATTGCGAGCAGGAAGCCCACAAACGGGACGCGTCCGCGCGTTCGTACGGAGACGCGCTGGCTAGTCTGAGCTGTTGCCACGCTTGCGTTCGTGTCAGCGTAACCTCAGTATTATGTCGCAAGTGTTTGTGTGTGGGCTGCGAATTTCTTCGTGCGCTCACTTTGAGAACTGGGTCGCTTACACGACCCTGAGAACCGCCGCTGTCAAAAGTCCAGGTGTTGTGTGTTGTTACGTCACACGGTCGGCTCCTTTTTGTTGCGCCGTACTTCGCGTAGCTGGAGGAAGCGGCGGCTGGCTCCAAAATGGCGGCGCACAGAAAATTATGCTGAATTTGGTGGAAGCTGGCAACAGCGTGCCCCGTTGCCCGCTGGTTTTGGCTGAGTTTCTTGAAGGCACTTATTAAGATGTCTCCACCCTAAAAACGGCCGTTCATGTAGGCTCCCTATTCCCCATATAGAAGCACCGCCATCCAGCGGACATTCCAAGGACTAAACGAGAGGCGGCACACGCACACTTTCTTACGGCTTGCGCTTCGGGTCCACTTCCCACCTTTAACCACCTCGAGTTCATGGTATATACTAGTTCACTGTATTCATGGCACTGCGGCCGAACGCTCGCTAAACCTTTCGAAAACCAAGGAGGTTACGCCCAGCGAGTATTACGTATAGCAAGCTTTTTCAGTCAGGGCTCAATGTACATGCCAATGGCTGCTAATGGGAAATGAGAGGCGGAGAATTTGGCTTTTACTTTCTTACGGCTTGCGCTTCGTATCTACTTCCCATTTTTAACCACCTCGAGTTCATTCATGGTCTATACAAGTTCATTGTATTCATGAATGGCACTGCGGCTCAACGCTCGCTACGCTCGCTAAACCTTTCACACCGTGACCTTTCTAAAGCTAAGGAGGTTACACCCAGCGAGTATAACGTAGGAACACTCTCTTGTCAGATAGTGCTCAATGTACATGCCAATGGCTGCTAATGGTGATCACAGCCTGCGCGTTAACTAAAAGCCGAATGCTCCTGTCTCTCATTTCCCATTAGCAGCCATTGACATATACATCGAGCACTATTTTTTATTGTTCAACAACGCACACAAGAAGTCTCTCACCGGCACCACCTTGGAGGTCAAAATGTTATACTTGTTACATACTACGGAGAACGAACGGGTGCCGCTATAAAAAGCTTCGCCTCTAAAATAGTGAATGTCCAGCGTTCGCGCTTCACAACCTTATTCTTTTAGGCTCATCATTTCGAATCGGGTCACAAAGTTCAAAAGGCTTCGGTCTTTCCTTTAAAACAAAACCATAACCAGCAATAAACGAAGCCGCTAGCGTACGATTCGCCGCCCGCAAGTATGAAGACTTGGCAAATGTGTGTACTACCCATCATTCCCATGGTCGCTGAACGATCGCAGCGCCAGAGTCCCCTCTAGTTAATTTTAGGAAACTACATCTGGGTAACGCATCGTCGCGAAACGCAGCATGTCGCATTTCGCACCGGTTGCCATCGGACCGCGCCGACGGGCGCTGGTCGCGCTGGTCGCGCCTGGTGTCACACTATGGAGTGCTCGCGTTTTGCTAACGTAGCATCGCTATGCACAGCGTGCGCACACGTCAACGCTATATTGGAGCATATTGAGCCCTTCATGATGCGCTCGCGGCCGTTTTGCTGGCTCCGCATATACAAAATTGATTTTGCGTGACGTCAGTGAATGACGAATAATATGACTGGTGCAAACATGATGACCCTGACACACGCGTCATGTAAGAACATGACAACATACCACGCTCATAGCGTGCTCGCGGCCGTTTCGCTAGCTCCAGATATACTAAATTTGGCATCACGTAACGAGAACACATGGCGAAGGTAAACAGCACATCCAAACATGATAATCATGACACGGAAGTCATGTACGGCATCATTTATGTCCACCTCTTAACCTTCTACTGTTTTTAAAGTGACAAATCAACATTTCTCATTAGTGCTTCGCATAGCATCAATTCTCACTGTACGTGGGATCTGACAATTTTTTTTAATTTTAGCTGGCGCTTCCTTCTCTTTACTTACACAGCCACAGCACTATCCCTATCTGGCTCTACCTTATCTAAGCAGACAAAAAAGCGCCGATACTTCATTACTGCCACGTGAATCTCTTCGAAATTGTGACGCAACCCACACATTAACACAATCGCAGAGTAATTAGCGTCTCCGCCATAGGCCACAATCACGTTGCCTCCAAGCTTGTCTTAGGTACGCTCACATTACCGATTAGCCACGTATTCAGTTCGGTGGAGCTCATGGTGCGACGTAAGTCGCCACGACCCTACAATAGCGTGTGACGCGTCCATGCACACAACGGGTGACAGTGAAAAGGAGTGAAAAAAAATGAGAGGCCTCTTACAGTGATCTGTGTTTTGGATGATGATGATGAAATAAACATTTATTTTTCAAAACAGTGTTTTCGAGTTTGTGAGTACGGGGTCACCCTTGGTGGGTGGGTCCCTAATTTCAGGAATATTCTGGCTGCAATCGCCTCCCGGGCCCTGGCCACAAGTCCTCGTTGGTCGTCTAGGTCACTTGCGGCAATCTTGGCCTCCCACGTCTCGGCTAGGGGGTCGATACGTGCAGTCGTTGCGGACTTGGTATTGGCATCTTCGTGGCGCCACGGGCACTCGAGTAGTAGGTGGGCCAGTGAGTCTGGCACGTCGCATATCGGGCAGTCGTAGGCGTATACCGTTGGGTAGATTCTATGCAGCAGTAGGGTGCCGTGTGTATAGGTGTTAGCTTGAAGTCTCCGAAATACTGTTGCCTCTTCTTTAGTCAGCTGGGGGTGAGGTGGCGGGTACACCCTGCGAGCTAGACGAGAGTGTTGTGGGATGGCATTGTATGTTGGTGGTACGGTCTCCACTTCTTCTGCAGCGCTGGCAAGCCGCGGGTCAAGCGAGGCGCTGAGAAGGGCCCGGTTGACGTGACAGCGGGCTGCTGCGTGAGACGCTTCATTTCCTTCGAGCCCCTCGTGCTCCGGCATCATACCACGCAGCTGTAAGGAAGCGGAGCTTGGCTCTTTCTCAGAATTTTGAGAGCTTCGGCTGTGTTTGGAAGACCAAATAAATGTTTATCCAATCCAATCGGAAAAAGTATGGAGAGAAGCTTGTCGTGTACGTGCAGATCGTACAACTGCTGTTTCCTTTGTCCTTCCTTTCTTTATCTCTTTCTTTTCGATTTCTTTACCTTTATTTCTTTCTTATTTTCTTTTATTTTTCTCTTGCCTTTCGCGTGCTCCTTCCTAAATGCTTCTATTCTCCGCGCCCGCATTGGGACCTTCATTCACGTGCTTAGCAGCGCCACACTTTATTTGTCCTAGGCAACAGCAAAGGTCATGAAATCGTTTTCAAGCAACATTGAATTGTTACGTCTAACAACGACTAAATTCAATAAAAGATCGAGTTGCCGTATCAAAAGCGGCTGATTTCAAGACAAGTCTCTCAATGAAAAGACGTTATTTATTCAGAAAACTGATACAAGAGCACGCGTCTGACCGGGATATATTTATGGGTTGCACTTGGTTACAGTCGTCAGCGTTCAAATATGTGCACAACACCGCCGCCAAAATGTGCGGCATAGCAGTATATCTCGCAGTTTGGGGCATTCAGGCCTACGGGACGGCTTTAAGCTCTCCCATAGTAGAGTACGCTGTACTCTAAATTGTTACCCACTTTTTTCTATCTCCCCTCCCCCCCTCTTTTCAAGATGTTCATTACGATTGACACGGCCCCATCAAGTTTGTGGCCCACGGAAAGGCATAATGCTCTCTCATAGTAGAGTACCAAGTACTCATAGTCGTTAACCACTTGTTCTAAACGAAAAATACTTCATACAGTTGTAGTCCAAAAAACGGCTTTAAGCCCTCCTATCCAAGTACGAACTACTCAAAATCGTTACCCCCTTTTAAATGCGAAGCATTTCTCAGCGAACTACGGCGACTTTGAGTCTATCTATCTATCTATCTATCTATCTATCTATCTATCTATCTATCTATCTATCTATCTATCTATCTATCTATCTATCTATCTATCTATCTATCTATCTATCTATCTATCTATCTATCTATCTATCTATCTATCTATCTATCTATCTATCTATCTATCTATCTATCTATCTATCTATCTATCTATCTATCTATCTATCTATCTATCTAGCCACCTACGACTTTTTGCTCTCCTGGTCATTTAGATAATGGTATCAATACCAAACTTGGTATGGCATACCACGACTGTATGAAGAACATATTTGATGAGTCATAACATGAAAGTTATGACACGTATGTCTTAAAAAACATGATTTACATTTCATGGTCCGGCAGCTCTTGCGGTGGTTTCGTTCACATGGCATGTTGCAAAACTAGTATGGCATGCTGGTATGGCGAGCACAAGAAACACACCCTAACATGAAAATCATGACATGCGTGTCATGTCACAACATGACTACATGCCACACTCATGATGCGCTCCCGGCCATTTCGCTAGCGTCACATATACCGAATTTGGTATTACAGTACGTGAATGGATGACAAAGGTATGTCACTGGTGCAAACATGATAATCATGAGATCCGTGTCATTTAACAACATGACTACATGCCACGCTCATGATGCGCTGGCGGCCGTTCCGCTAGCTTCAGTTATACCTAATTTGGTATTTCGGGACGTGAATGGAAGACGAAGGTATGATACTGGGGCAAACATGATAAACATAAGATGGGTGTCATGGAACAACATGACTACATGCTACGCTCATTATGCGCTCGCGGCCGTTTTGCTAGCTTCACATGTACCAAATTCGGTATTATGAGACGCGAACGTACGACATAAGTAAATGACACATTCAAACATGATTATCATGACATGCGTGTCATGTGACAACGCGACTACATGCCACGCTCATGATGTGATCGCGGCTGTTTTGCTAGCTTCACATATGCCGAATTTGGTATTACGTAACGCCAATGGATGGCGAAGGTATGTTGCTGGTGCAAACATGATAATCATGAGAGGCGTGTCATGTGAGAACATGACTACAAGCCACAGTCAAGGCTCCAATACATTTCGACGTGACGCGGTATGCGTTTTCGTCGGCGTTCATTTAGCCGCCTCACGCCGGCGTTGACACGCCAGGCGCCGGCCCTGCAATATACTCGCAGCCGCGAGCCACGCTGCTGTGATGCATGCCCATTTCAGCACGTGTGGCGTCCCTCCGTCACTAAAAGAGGATGTCGCAGTGTTGTCTGGGTAACGCATCGGCGCGAAATGCAGCATGTCGCATTTCACGGCGGTTGTCGTCGGGCCATGCCTACGGAATCTTGTCGCGCCTACTGTCATGCAGCTTATAGAGTGCTAGCGTTTTGCTAACGTAGCGTCACTGTGCCTAGCGTGCACGCGCGTCAACGCTACATTGGAGTATATTGAGCTCTTCATGATGCACTCGCGGCCGTTTGGCTATAGCTCACATATACCAAATTTGGTGTTACGTAACGTCAATGGATGACGAAATATATGACTGGTGCAATGCATAATAATCCTGACACGCGTGTTACGTAAAAACATGACAACATTTCACTCACATAGCGTGCTCGTGGCCGTTTTGCTAGCTCCACATATATTAAATTTGGTATCATGTGACGTGAATAGATGAAGAAGGTAAACGACACATCCAAACATGATAATGACACGGAAGTCATGTGTGGCATCATTTGCCTCCACGTCGTAACGTTGTGCTTATTTTAAAGTGACATATCAACAATTCTCATTCGTGTTTCGCATATCATCAATTCCCACTGTATGTGAGAGAGAGAGAGATAGACTTTATTATTTCTGGCAGATCGCTGGGATGGGCGCCCACCTAGGGGCCAACGGAGAGACCATGTCTCCCGGCAGCTTCCTTGGCCTGCTGGATCGCCCAAAGTTGTTTGTCCAGGCCCGAACTGAGCAGCGCAGTCCGCCAACGCGCCCGAAGGTCTTCATTGGAGGCCGCGACCCCAGAATTTCTGACTAATGCTGGACATTCCCATAGGATATGGTCGAGAGTGGCTCTGGTGGTACAGTTCTGGCATAGATTAAAACTATAGACGTCAGGATATATGTGGTGCATGATGACAGGGTTCGTGTATGTGCGTGTTTGTATAGCTGTCGCCACTGAACGGACTGGGCCCGATTTAGCTTGGAGTGAGGCGGAGGGTACTCCCACCTTTGCAGTCGATAGTGTTGAATTATGTCATTAAATTTAGTGAGCCGATCATCCCATTCCCACACCGGCGCAGAAAGACCCGTTTGGGTGGCCGCTTCGTCTGACGTGACTCGGAACGTAAGACCTCGAGCCACGTTGTGCGCCACTTCATTCGGTATGGCCTCCGCGTTACCTAGTAGTGTGTGGGCAGGGAACCACAATATGTGTACGTATTTGTCCGCCTCGTGAATTTTGCCTGTATTAAGAATCCAAAATGCCTCGGTGGAGATTCTGCCGCTGGCGTAGTTTCGAACGGCTGTCTGCGAGTCGCTGATTACGCATGAGGCGTTAGTGTGGGCTATGGCCATCGCGATAGCCACTTCCTCTGCCGTTTCTACGTTCCGTGTGATGATTGACGCGCTGCTTTGGCATTGTTGTGTGCGGTCTACGACAGCAGCCACGAAGTAGTGACGTTCCTGGTAGCGTGCTGCGTCGACAAAGACTGCCTCATGCATTGCGCCCAAACATGTTTGACATGGTCCTGGCTCTACTGACACGTCTGCCCTTGTTGTGTTCAGGGTGCATGTTTCTTGGTATGGGTGGTACTGTTAGCTTAGCACGGATAGTGCGTGGTATGTCGTGTTTCTCTCCGTGTTGAGAGTGGTAAGTAATACCGAGATTACATAGAATCTGGCAGCCTGGCTTAGTCTTGGCTAAACGCTCGAATTGGGAGATTTGTTGCGCCTCAATAGGTTCCTCAAGGGTATTGTGTAAACCAAGTTGAAAGAGTAGTTAGGTGCTGGTGTTTTGAGGCAAACCTAGCGCTTGTTTGTAAATTTTCCTAATTAGACTGTTGAGTTTTGACTTTTCCGCGGTGAACCATCGGTGGTACGCCGCCGTATAGGTGATGTGAGTTAGAAAAAACGCTTGGATCAAACGGATGATGCTGGCCTCTTTCATGCCTTTGTGTTTATTGGTAATGCGCCTAATGAGGCACATCGTGTTAGACACTCTGGCTTCAATGTTGCGAACTGTCTCTCCGTTTGTACCCTTACTTTCTATGATCAAACCTAGCACTCTGATTTTGTTCACGGTTGGTATGGCGTGACCATCGCTTGTAGTGAGTTTTATATCAGCGTGTGCCTGCGCTTGGGGATGTTGTTTGGGTGGCCGACCTCTAAGTGTAGGGCGATATAGCAGTAGCTCAGATTTCTCCGCCGAGCAGGATAGTCCATTTCCTTGTAAATACTGTTCGACTGTGTCAATCCCCTCCTGTAATCTCTGTTCAATGGAACCGTCACTGCCGTCGTACACCCACAGGGTGATGTCGTCGGCGTAAATAGTGTGATGAAGTCCTTGGATGGTTTGAAGTTTTTAAGGAAGACCAATGAGGGTGAGGTTAAACAACATGGGAGATATCACGGAACCCTGCGGGGTGCCCGCACTTCCTATGGTTATTTCGGACGACCTGAGTGCTCCCACAGTGATCGTGGCCGTTCTGCCCGTAAGAAATGCCCTAATATAGTTGCACGTGCGAAGCCCCAAGCTTAGGGTATTGACCTGATTTAGAATGGTGCTATGCGTGACAGAGTCAAAAGCCTACTTCAGATCAAGACCAAGTATGCCCTTAGTGGAGCGTCCCGTACTGTCTATGATGTGATGCATAAGCTGCAACATGGCACCCTGCGTTGAAAGATGCCTGCGGAAGCCGATCATGGTGTGTGGGAAAAAAATCATTGTCTTCGAGGTAATTTGTCAGTCTAGCCAGGAAAGCGTGTTCCATCAATTTGCCTATGCAAGATGTTAAGGAGATTGTCAGTATTCAGTGGTTTGCCTGGTTTCGGAATCAGAATCACCTTGGCCGTTTTCCAATGCGGGGGCAAGATTCCGGTGTTCCAGCAGTTATTAATAT